CCTCATGCTCGTTTAATTTTGTCATAGACATGCTTTTAGAGATAATACTATCCTCGTCTCTTTTCAGTGGTGGGTCTTCTACTAGGACACTTGCTGATTGACTTAGAATATGTCAAATAGAATAGAATGGAATATGGAGAAGATAGTGATATAATACAGTCTTCTGACCACCTCGGGCAACAATGCAAGCATTTTAAGGATGCGATTCTACCCCTCAAAATGCAAAATATTGCTTCAAGATTGGCTTGCGTCAGCACCTGAACTAGTGATAGGGAGTGAAGTAGTCGAGCGTGTCGACCGTTCCACGCATCTGGGTAGTCTCATCAGTGCTGATGGCCTGGTGTGTGACGAAATCTCAGCTCGGATACAGAAGGCTCGATCGGCTTTTGCCAACCTGAGTCACTTATTGCACGGGCGAGATAACCGTCTCCTGACTAAAGGACGAGCGTACTGCGCAGTAGTTTGCTCCGTCCTACTTCATGGCTGTCAAACATGGTCAGTCAGAGTTGAGGATATCCGTAGGTTCCTGGTTATCGATCCTAGGTGTCTTCGGAGTAGTGTTCATATATCTCGGGACAATTGAGTAGGCAATGCAGTTGTTAGGAAACGGGTATTAGGTAAGGATGGCAGATCAATTGATAAAGTAGTGAGTCTTCATCAGTTTAGTTGGTTGGGTTGTGTTACGAATGCCCAACCACAGACCGCCCCGACGAGCAATGTTTTAAGATGATGGGATAGTCTGAGAGAAGGCCATGAGCGGCCAAACCAAGACGTTACACAAATCCATGAAGTCACTGACAATTGGACTGAGCCATGTTTGTAGGTGTAGTCTACCAGGTTGGGGTATCAGAGATGATAGTAATCGGTGCTTAGAGAGCTTGAACGGCATGGCTCAAATTCTAGTCATCTGAGTTCATCGTGGCATTTATTTTTACGTTAGTAAATCGATTTCACTGGGTTATGTATCATGAATATATCATTCGAACCGTAATCTTCTTAATTACCGCTAATACTTCTACTACGTCTGCAGCTATTCGAATTGCTTGATAATTCCATCTCTGTAAGTGCTAATGTGGTACGTACGTACGAAGATCTACGCTGTTTCTGACTGACTGACTGGTCATTGATGGTATGAAATTATAACCTGCACATTCGAAAATAATAATTAGGCTCATTTTCTTGACGAGTCTAATGACTGCACTTGATATAACAGAGTGCATGAAAAAGTGTCAGGCAAATGGTTAAAAAGTTATGATGATTTCATTTGAAAGATCCAGTTACGCTACTCTCTCACTATAATTTAAACACTTCTTCAAAATAAGTCTAAAAGACAGATATTTGAAAATCTGTCAGACCGAAATCTCCAGTGAACTCACAACTATCCGCAACCCATTTGAGTTGAAATTATTGCAGAAGAGACTGTCAGATTATCACAGGCCTTTATCTCATATTGTAAGAGTGAGATTATAGTTTATGCAGCGAATTTTCAGTTCGAAGACTTATAGAAAGCTTTGTGGTATAGATGTTGCCGTAAGCACATCCGAATACTAGTTTCAACTCAATCGGTCTGTTGTATAGGCTCTACTGCGAATGTTCAGGTTTTGGAATCTGATATGATATTGATTACGAAAACAGGTGCTGCCCTAGAGTAAGAAACGGGAGTAATAACTCCTTGTTGTTGAAGTCGATTACATTCTTCGTCTAATGTTGCATAAGGTACGGATCTCTTTGGACAGAAAGCAGGCTTAGCCCCATGTTTCAACCGAAGTGTTGCTTTCATGGCAGTACACCGACCTAATCCAGGTTGGCAGATGGTTGAAAACTGCGCCATTAGATTCCTCGTAGATGCTTCGGGTTCATGTGGTCGTGATATCAGGTGGCATATGGTATTTAATGGGACGTCAGCCAACTTTGGTTGCTCGAACCAATCTAAATCAAGTAAATTTAGATCAGCTGACGTCATATAACATACACCAGTAAATGACGAGTCTCGGAAGTTAACTTTACATTCCAATTGTCGCAACAGATTAAGGTAATTACCACATGCTGTACGAGGTTTTTGTGTTGTGTGCTGCAGGCTCGGGATGTGATATCAGACGTGGTATCTATTTGCAATCTGGTGATGAGTTTTGACAGTAAGATATTAGTCTCTCAGTACTGATGCGTTTCAACTTTATTCTGAATTTATTCTCAACTTTCCTCAATTATTATACCCACTAACCGAACACCACTGGTCTAGTGAAAATGAGCTTTTGTGGAAATTATCACTTCCAGTGATGTCCATCTGGGATGTTCACTCTCCTCATGCTCGTTTAATTTTGTCATAGACATGCTTTTAGAGATAATACTATCCTCGTCTCTTTTCAGTGGTGGGTCTTCTACTAGGACACTTGCTGATTGACTTAGAATATGTCAAATAGAATAGAATGGAATATGGAGAAGATAGTGATATAATACAGTCTTCTGACCACCTCGGGCAACAATGCAAGCATTTTAAGGATGCGATTCTACCCCTCAAAATGCAAAATATTGCTTCAAGATTGGCTTGCGTCAGCACCTGAACTAGTGATAGGGAGTGAAGTAGTCGAGCGTGTCGACCGTTCCACGCATCTGGGTAGTCTCATCAGTGCTGATGGCCTGGTGTGTGACGAAATCTCAGCTCGGATACAGAAGGCTCGATCGGCTTTTGCCAACCTGAGTCACTTATTGCACGGGCGAGATAACCGTCTCCTGACTAAAGGACGAGCGTACTGCGCAGTAGTTTGCTCCGTCCTACTTCATGGCTGTCAAACATGGTCAGTCAGAGTTGAGGATATCCGTAGGTTCCTGGTTATCGATCCTAGGTGTCTTCGGAGTAGTGTTCATATATCTCGGGACAATTGAGTAGGCAATGCAGTTGTTAGGAAACGGGTATTAGGTAAGGATGGCAGATCAATTGATAAAGTAGTGAGTCTTCATCAGTTTAGTTGGTTGGGTTGTGTTACGAATGCCCAACCACAGACCGCCCCGACGAGCAATGTTTTAAGATGATGGGATAGTCTGAGAGAAGGCCATGAGCGGCCAAACCAAGACGTTACACAAATCCATGAAGTCACTGACAATTGGACTGAGCCATGTTTGTAGGTGTAGTCTACCAGGTTGGGGTATCAGAGATGATAGTAATCGGTGCTTAGAGAGCTTGAACGGCATGGCTCAAATTCTAGTCATCTGAGTTCATCGTGGCATTTATTTTTACGTTAGTAAATCGATTTCACTGGGTTATGTATCATGAATATATCATTCGAACCGTAATCTTCTTAATTACCGCTAATACTTCTACTACGTCTGCAGCTATTCGAATTGCTTGATAATTCCATCTCTGTAAGTGCTAATGTGGTACGTACGTACGAAGATCTACGCTGTTTCTGACTGACTGACTGGTCATTGATGGTATGAAATTATAACCTGCACATTCGAAAATAATAATTAGGCTCATTTTCTTGACGAGTCTAATGACTGCACTTGATATAACAGAGTGCATGAAAAAGTGTCAGGCAAATGGTTAAAAAGTTATGATGATTTCATTTGAAAGATCCAGTTACGCTACTCTCTCACTATAATTTAAACACTTCTTCAAAATAAGTCTAAAAGACAGATATTTGAAAATCTGTCAGACCGAAATCTCCAGTGAACTCACAACTATCCGCAACCCATTTGAGTTGAAATTACGAAGATCTACGCAGATCTACATTGTCAGACAACATTCTAGTGAATTATACAGTTGAATAACAATAGGCTACCTATACATTCCACACAATCTCATATGTTATTCTAGCTCACTCATTTCAAAGCGCCTTTGTGGTCAGTCTCTATGCCATATATTGTGTGCAGAATCCACCCGAACAGTCCTAGTTATCGCAAGCATTTCACTTTGACTGACACGGTACTTGATTTCAGTTTCAATCACGCATCAGCAATGCGTTCTATCCATCAAAGTATGAGAGACAACTCCACTCACGAAAGATCTGATCGAGCTAAATAGCAGTAGAAATAGAAACGTTTCATTCACTTTGTAATCATCAGACGACATATGGTATCAATACGAGGTATTTCCAACTAAACCACGGATGTGGTGAAACCTAACGAAATGCACTGTTACCCCTGGCTAGATCATGATTCACATTCTGTTTGCGACTAATGACAATTGTCATACACTAAACTATACTAGTCAGAAAATGAATTAGCACTGAAAACGCATGCGTTACAGATTCGCCAACATTAATCTCATCGGACGCATGCATATAACACTGCCATGAAAATGCTCAGTTGGATTGGCAGATATACGCAGAAAGCCAGTTGAAAGTCTTATGAATCACATTGATGCCTTTCAAAACAAACATCCCGAGGGTATGACGCATTAATCACCAGGTTTTGTAAATTCACAATCCCACCGTTTTACATACTTTCACACATAACCACTACCGGATTAGTGTCAACAATATTCACCAAATAGAGCCTACGCGAATGTCTACTCATATGGTAGGCCGAATTCAACCTCCCAAGCTGAACTTCAAATATTCATCATTTTATAAGTCGATTTGAGTTTTCAAAGTCTCTGTCCTGATTGACTGACTCAACTAAAGTACGTATCGCAGTCAACACATTGTTATGATTTAGTCCCCCATTCCTTGTTTGTGACGAGAAATGTCTGTTGCTCGTAGCCGGCCTCCATCTATTTGCAGTTACTCATTGACAAGGCAAATAAACAACTTGGAAGTAGTTAAAGTTAGGTCTCCTTCTTAGTTCTGAATACGTTTCTCACAGTACATATTGGAATGAGTGTGAATACATTGTGATATGCCACACATCTATGTTACTTGCAGTGTGAACTGTCATAAAAATGCTCAGTTGGATTGGCAGATGTACGCAGAAAGCCAGTTGAAAGTCTTATGAATCACATTGATGCCTTTCAAACCAAACACCCAACACTAGTCAGAAAATGAATTCAGAAGACATAAACATGTCCATCAAGGCAAATAGTTTTGCAATAGTAGTACAAAAGAAATTCTTCTCTATGAATGATGCATTCACACGATGAAATTACAAAGATATGCATTTTCTCTAATACATGGCTAGTGATGCTTGATTACAGAACGTTTACAACAAATCTGACTGTTTACTCGATTGGCATACTGTCCAATGGAGCTTGAGATGTTAACCTCTGCCAAAGAATTCACGTTTGCCTTCATCGTTCACCGAGCACACATGCTTGACAGTAGGAATGATGAAAAGAGAAAAAGTAAGCAGCATTAACATCTTCTGTGGGCCATGTGAACATATAGTTGATGCATTCAATATTCACATGACAAAATCCGTTGTGGAAATGAGCTTTGAGAGTGTGGTTCGAACACCAGACAGATGCGAAACATCGGTCAGTGGAATATTTCATCTAATGATGGTGCTTGTACATGTTTCACTGTAAATTCTCAGTTGGCTCGTTCAGGCAGTTGTTTGTGTGTGTGTGTGTGTGTGTATCTTTTCTCATTGTGCCACATTGGACTGTTGAAGTGGTGCATGTTCCACTTGTCGATCAACATAATAACTCGCATCCATACTTACTCATCATTCACCAACAGATCTCACTCAGCACACTCGACGTGGTCATTTTACATGAAATTATAAACACAAAGACGATAACAATAACACTTCCATTGTCCTCTTCACTTACCGGCACATCACGGAAACAATCATTGTAGTCGATACCATATCCCACTATGAATCGGTTCGGGACCTCGAAGCCAACATCTACAAAATGTCATTTCATGTGAATAAGTCTGATGAAACAAGTTAAAATGAGTCATGCTGACAATCTGAGCGAAAGTGGGTTACACGTGTATTAGTCATTCAGCACGGTGTTACAATCAACCTGTAAGTAAGTATACTAATCAATGTAGTTTTCAGTGTCTCGATTACACAGTTGATGTTATTGTAATGAAAATGTAAAATAATATAAGAGGAAAGAATTTCATGTTCAGTAGTTCTCTTACACGGTTGCGTTGCCTGTGATCAGAAACACTGTTAGTAGATTATCTTTAGAGATGAAAGTTGAAGACGGTTAATTGATATATTATTGCAACACAGTAAATAAAGTAGCTCTTCATCATTCAGTGTGCAACAAGCCTCATCCACCAATGAATCGGTGAGTGATGTTTCACTGTACCATATGAATATCTGTTCAGTAAGTTAGTTAGCTACCTCTCTCAAGAACTTTTGTTGTACTAGTTCAAAGGCTCACATCTTCAAATTTATAATGATTCGGTTTATATACATTTGAACACTAAGTTATCAAATCATAATTTGTAAAAGAAGAGATACGAATAGGTTAACCTACGCATAAATATGGTAGTCATTCTGTTAATAACAAGTTTAATAATGAGAACTCACAGTCCGGTTGGTATCCAGGATGATCAGCTATTCTTTTGACTAGTAAACTGTCATTTCAGAGAAAAATGACGACAACACAACACATTACACAATTAATAATAATAAAGAAACTAGTTTAGTCAATGTACTTGTGAAAAATACATACTAACCGGGTCAATATGTCGATTATCTACAGTCTGTATTAGCAGGAGTCGAGGTTGACTATGATCAACACTACAGACCGATCACGTTCCAGTTACTAGGTGAAATCCCTCTATGAAACCAAAACAAGGAATAAGATTGGATCCTGAAATGAATGTTTATTTGTTGGCGATCTTGTGGTATCGAAAGAGTATCGAGATAGTGCCAAAGTATACAGACGAAACTAATTATTTGCTAATAGTACACACACGGAGCCACAGATCTGTTAGGTGACATCAGTTTCTATACAGACTGAATATCTGTTTTGATTAAAGTGAAAGTAAGATAAACTACAAGATGAATCTTCTTCTTTTTCTTCAAACACTTAACTTTCATCTCACCATGTTCATGGAATTCTCTTAAAATGGATTCATGAGAATTCTGGCGAAAGTATATTATGATTAGTACATACCATGTGGAACAGATCGATTTTGGTTCGTATTTTCTAATATATTTTTCCAGATTGTTCAAACTTGTACCCGTGTCGACCAGATCTTCAGCAATGAGCACATGCTATTCAGAAGAACCAAATGATAATTATAAACTATTTTTTGGTTCAACTTACCTTATCTTTGAACTTCTCCATGTTTGTACATGGATTGATTTTGGTATCATGACCGACTGAATCATTCTGAATGTGTTGATAGAAATTACTGAATAAAATATTATTTCTACTTACGACGTATGTGCTCGCAGAAATGAAATCAATACAAATTCTTACGTATTTGTTACGCGTAACTGAATACTTATGTAAACATTTGAATAGATCATAAGCGAATTGATAGCCTCCCTTCAGTATGCAAATAATGTGGACGGTATCTGTGCCAGACCGTTCATATTCATTCAATATATCACGAGCCATTTTACTGATACGATCTAGAATCATTCCATTCGGAACTAATATGCTCTCAATATATTTTGCATAGTCTGATGGTAGAACGAAATTTTTTGCTGACTGTCCTTCAAAACTATCATCAAGCTAATTGAAAACACAGAAAGAAACTTTGAGGAAAATTCGAAGACTTACAATTATGCAGTCATCTTTATAATCACGTGAAGGCATTTTGATAGTGTAGAATAACTGACTAACATCAAAGAATAAACTACTGAGATTATATAGAGTGAAGCACACAATTTATCGTCCAACCAGATGTCTCGATACACTAACCAATCAACTACTGACTGAATCGATAATTTCACTATGTGATCTGACAAAGATTGATCAATCATAAATGAAAAAATTAGCTGGCCATATTTTACTGGTTTATTGAGATTACTTCAGTAATGTTGATCAGTGATTGAAAAGAAGTATATTAAATGTATGTGATTTAAGTGGTGTGTGATTGAAGGATATATTATTCGATCATGTTCCATTGTTCGGACAATGGGCTTTTGTTATTGTATTTTATCATCCTTACCGCCTGTCTTACTATAATCTTCATGCACTTTTACCTTTCGTGTCATCCCCTTCATTGTAATTATTTAACCATAAATGGCCCCTCACGGTTTAACATTTCCGTACATATACTCACGCTAATCAGTAACATCTGATAGCGATCTAATTGCAAACAATACTTTACGACTATTTGAGTAGTTCCAAGATTCACAATGCAAGTATGTAGTAAGATTATTAATTTCTGGTGTTCAATACTAATAGGTATGTGACCATAATTACACTAAAATAAGGACAAGGAATGAAAGCAAATCTTGAGGTTTCAATCCATCCCAAATAATGGCAGTTTCCATTCATCGTTCACGGAGAAACGGTGGGAAGCATTTTTCACTGAAATGACAGTTTACTAGTCAAAAGAATAGCCGATCATCCTGGTTACCAGCCGGACTGTGAGTTCTCATTATTAAACTTGTTATTAACAGAATGACTACCATATTTATGCGTAGGTTAACCTATTCGTATCTCTTCTTTTACAAATTATGATTTGATAACTTAGTGTTCAAATGTATATAAACCGAATCATTATAAATTTGAAGATGTGAGCCTTTGAACTAGTACAACAAAAGTTCTTGAGAGAGGTAGCTAACTAACTTACTGAACAGATATTCATATGGTACAGTGAAACATCACTCACCGATTCATTGGTGGATGAGGCTTGTTGCACACTGAATGATGAAGAGCTACTTTATTTACTGTGTTGCAATAATATATCAATTAACCGTCTTCAACTTTCATCTCTAAAGATAATCTACTAACAGTGTTTCTGATCACAGGCAACGCAACCGTGTAAGAGAACTACTGAACATGAAATTCTTTCCTCTTATATTATTTTACATTTTCATTACAATAACATCAACTGTGTAATCGAGACACTGAAAACTACATTGATTAGTATACTTACTTACAGGTTGATTGTAACACCGTGCTGAATGACTAATACACGTGTAACCCACTTTCGCTCAGATTGTCAGCATGACTCATTTTAACTTGTTTCATCAGACTTATTCACATGAAATGACATTTTGTAGATGTTGGCTTCGAGGTCCCGAACCGATTCATAGTGGGATATGGTATCGACTACAATGATTGTTTCCGTGATGTGCCGGTAAGTGAAGAGGACAATGGAAGTGTTATTGTTATCGTCTTTGTGTTTATAATTTCATGTAAAATGACCACGTCGAGTGTGCTGAGTGAGATCTGTTGGTGAATGATGAGTAAGTATGGATGCGAGTTATTATGTTGACCGACAAGTGGAACATGCACCACTTCAACAGTCCAATGTGGCACAATGAGAAAAGATACACACACACACACACACAAACAACTGCCTGAACGAGCCAACTGAGAATTTACAGTGAAACATGTACAAGCACCATCATTAGATGAAATATTCCACTGACCGATGTTTCGCATCTGTCTGGTGTTCGAACCACACTCTCAAAGCTCATTTCCACAACGGATTTTGTCATGTGAATATTGAATGCATCAACTATATGTTCACATGGCCCACAGAAGATGTTAATGCTGCTTACTTTTTCTCTTTTCATCATTCCTACTGTCAAGCATGTGTGCTCGGTGAACGATGAAGGCAAACGTGAATTCTTTGGCAGAGGTTAACATCTCAAGCTCCATTGGACAGTATGCCAATCGAGTAAACAGTCAGATTTGTTGTAAACGTTCTGTAATCAAGCATCACTAGCCATGTATTAGAGAAAATGCATATCTTTGTAATTTCATCGTGTGAATGCATCATTCATAGAGAAGAATTTCTTTTGTACTACTATTGCAAAACTATTTGCCTTGATGGACATGTTTATGTCTTCTGAATTCATTTTCTGACTAGTGTTGGGTGTTTGGTTTGAAAGGCATCAATGTGATTCATAAGACTTTCAACTGGCTTTCTGCGTACATCTGCCAATCCAACTGAGCATTTTTATGACAGTTCACACTGCAAGTAACATAGATGTGTGGCATATCACAATGTATTCACACTCATTCCAATATGTACTGTGAGAAACGTATTCAGAACTAAGAAGGAGACCTAACTTTAACTACTTCCAAGTTGTTTATTTGCCTTGTCAATGAGTAACTGCAAATAGATGGAGGCCGGCTACGAGCAACAGACATTTCTCGTCACAAACAAGGAATGGGGGACTAAATCATAACAATGTGTTGACTGCGATACGTACTTTAGTTGAGTCAGTCAATCAGGACAGAGACTTTGAAAACTCAAATCGACTTATAAAATGATGAATATTTGAAGTTCAGCTTGGGAGGTTGAATTCGGCCTACCATATGAGTAGACATTCGCGTAGGCTCTATTTGGTGAATATTGTTGACACTAATCCGGTAGTGGTTATGTGTGAAAGTATGTAAAACGGTGGGATTGTGAATTTACAAAACCTGGTGATTAATGCGTCATACCCTCGGGATAAGCTAGCGTTCAACGGAACATCTACTAATAGTAGTGTGTTATATGCATGCGTCCGATGAGATTAATGTTGGCGAATCTGTAACGCATGCGTTTTCAATGCTAAACGAGTGTGTGCGGTCAATTATTTTGTGCAAAATTCCTGTTCACTTCGAGAGTAAACGTTGTGTGTAAGAGCGTAAGTTTCACTGAGGATTTCATTTCAAGCAATAAATTCCAACTCCTTGCCTACTTTCATTCAGTAAATTGGAATGCATCATAGGAGGGCATTCATAGAAGAAAAACGAACACAGAGAAATAAACATCACATTGTATCTATTTTTTTCAAATATAATCCAAGCGTCTGAAATAGGATCACTCGTTTAGATAGACATTCATTATTATTTTTACTCAAATACTCATTCAGTTCACTTGTTATCTGTCATTGTGATGATGAATAGAAACGTAATATAAGCCATCATTTATTGGCGTCCTGCTTGCACTCTGTACACGTGGCTAATAGTCTACTATCTTGATCATGTATAATGAGGTTTTAAGGTTCAATGGAGCAACCGACTGATATGATAAAAGCAACTACAATATTTATTATCCCAACTTAATATTAAAATATCGCTCGAAGCCTATATATTTTAATGTCTACTTGTACCAATATTCATGTGTTTTCAATAATTGAATCTTGATAGAACAGTGAGAAGACGTAATTGATCCGAAAAATGTGATGTATTTGCGCCAAACATTTCGAACAATCTGGTCACACACATACTTGTCAATGCATTTTATATAAAGATTAATAAAAGGTCAATTAAATAAAAGTTCAAATAGATATAAGGTGATAATTGTAAATAAAGGAGAGAGAAAATTAACGTAATATGAAAAGAATAAGAAAGGGTAGGAAAATTGTCACATTACCCTAGGCTTAAAGATTACCAGGGTAAATTCAAGGTTTTAACAAGTTGTTTCTGTGCAGATAATGGATGTTTTAATTTCCGAATAGCCAAGGCCTCCATAAACCCAAAAATTCGTCCTTCAACATTTCACTACAATGTTTTAAAGGCTGTCTTGAGGTCAATCTTATGCTCCGTCTTAACTACGTGTTTTGCGATCGATGAACATGGTTTTCTATTTCCCACGCTAATCGGCTCATCTGACGTTAACTGATTTTGAAGTCACTTGAATCAATAAAATATGTTATTGGAACGTAAAACTCAATTCAATCCAAAATAACTTGGATACGTTTGGGCATAATGACAGGTGTTTTCTTGAGTCGTACTACAAATGTCTTCTTGAAAATAGATCCATCAGATTATTGCTACTCTCATTAGCCTCAATATTAACATGCAAACAAACATAATGTGAGAGATTGTTGCTGGTTTCCAGCATCCAATATCTTTTTCATGAGCTAGTATAAACCAATTGATTTCTTTGCACTCGATTCTTGTTCCTTCGGTACGGTTCCGGTTACACACTTTGGTACATTTGATTAGCTAGTGACTGATGAGCAAGCCAAAATCAGTTCAATCCTAAACACAACGTATATTGAATTCCGAAACAAGATCAGCAAATCGACACGGTGCAAGTGTCATCATATCGACAGATATACATCTGTAGTCATAAAGGAAAGAGATCTGAAGGCAGTGAATATATCTGTGAAAAAATCTATATTTCACCTACTTATTGAGTCATAAATTGGTTTCAGTCACTTCATAAATTAGTATTGTTTGTGGATTTGTTGGGGATGTTAGATCTCTAGAACTGACTTGGAATAGGTCCTAATTATGTAATTTTATTATGAAATTTTGAATTTTATGTTTGCGCGACAAAGACGCTGGTTGATGCATTATCTGAGTATGCTATTTTGTCGCTGTCGCCGAGGGCGTTTTATCATAATATAAATGAGCTTGATTTGCGTGCTCAGGTACCTCGTACTTTATGGTTGCCTGTGGAATACATTTCGCTACTTCTTATCAAGATTTCTTCCTCTAGTTTGTGGGGTCTGGGACGATCGGGGCAGAGTAGACTATCGCGTCACTGAATCATTGATCTTCGTTCCATTTACCGAGTAAGGTGAACTCGAAATAGCTCGAGCACATCAATTGACGACGGCGGTGCTAAAACATAGATCATTCCAAATTTGAAATTATACGTGAGCAGCAGCCGAAGCTAATACAGATTTTTACATATATCAAGATTCCACCTCCGA